ATCATTAACGTTGTACAGAAATTGTATGCGAATTATTTTTGCATGAATTTTCATTTCTTTGGGTTCCTTTTCTAGTGAAATATGACCAGTAAAAAGTTTAATTCAGGCATCAATCACTTTTACCATTCAAATATAATAACAACGATTATTTTCCTAAAAATAAAGACAGTTGGATAGGAACATTTATTTTTAGGGCCAAAATAGGACTTCGCCTTCCATTATAAGAAATGTACCTTTATGGCGTGCCTTTAGAGCATAATTAGATTCAAAAAAGATGCTGAAGAGTAAGAAAGCAAAACGAAAAACGATGCAGAACCAAAATTACATAAAAAAGGCGGGAAGGTCAAATTCATCGAAAGCACAACTGGAAAAAAAAGAATAATCCTTGCAGAAAAACAAGCAATACGCATTAAGCTTTAATGCATTGATAGAAAAGAAAAAATTGGGAAAATCGAGCAAAAAATCCTTTTCTAGTAAATGAATGAATGAAGGAAGAAAGGAAGGAAGGAAGAAACTTGCCATTATTACAGGCAACAGAAATGAAAACGAGTGAGCAAAAGATTTGCCGCAAAACCAATGATAATTTTTTCGACAAACTTTTCTATCAGAATTATTAAATATTTCAAGAAAAGTCAAAAAGAAAAAGTTGAAAAAATTCTTTATAGTAATTATAGCTCAACATTTCTAAAAATATACGATTAAGCTGACCTCATAAGCTCATGCAAATTTAAAATATTTAAAATATTTTTAAATATTTTTATATTTTTAATATTCTTAAAATATTTTTAAATATTTTTAACATTTTATAATTTAAATATTTTTTAATATATATTTTTAATATTTTTATAATATTTTATATTTTTTATTATTTTGTCATTTAAAATATTTTTTTGTTTTTTTTTTAATTTATAAATATAATATTTTTATTTTTTAATATATAAAATGGCATTTAAACCAAAGCACATTTAAACGAAAACTGAAATCGCTGAAATTTTAAAATTGTCTTTCTTCGCCATATATTTTAAGATTATGAAACATTGTAAGAAAAACTGCTTTTGAGAATAGCTTTTTGACAGTTTAAAATTCATACTTTTCGTTTTCAAATGAAATATGTTCAAGGCCACACGATAAAGATATCATTAGTTAAAATTCATTGGCAATCAACTGAATAATAAGAAAATAAAGAAAATATTAATTGTTCTAGACCTTTGTGCTGTTCCAGCATTCGATGTATCCTTTGCAACCTCCTAACGTTGAACATTAACCTAGATCCCAGACCATTTGCTTTTTTATCTAGGAATTACAAAAATTCCATTAATCAGGCCGATCTAATGGACTCTCCACCAACTACAAGTGGTTCTTCACCTAAAACATCCTTGAACTAGGATTATGATTGATATATCTCGGAAACATCGCAGTTGCAATTCGGCTATGAGCCAGATGACGTTTTTGTTCAATAAAATTTGGGATTTGCAGTGGTGTAACATTTAAAATAGATCAATAAAAAGCTTAATAGATTAAAAGCTATAATTAACTAAATTCTAATAATTAACTAATGATTAGTGGTGTGGAGAAATTATAACCGACCTATTTTAATGATTAATCCATTAAAAAGTGTAGTATAGTTTTGTTGTGAAAAATCAAATTTGATCCACCTGATAAAAAATCTTTAGCCGTGCGGTCTTAGAATCAGAATTATGGTTCCAAAGCTTTTACTATTACTAAAATTATGAAAATGTTTAGTTAGTTGCCCAATTGTACAGTGTTGCCTCAAATGCATTTTCTTACAACGGGCATCATTCACCGTCATTGTTTCGCCAATTTTACAACGACAATCTATTTATATTTGTGTAAACGATCAATGGTCGCCAAAAAACATCCTTTTAATCAACAAATCAGCGCTGTTTTAAAATTAGATGAATGTGTCATAAAACAATTTCATTTTTTTTGAAATATGCCTATTTTAAAAAAAATTTTGGTGAAAGGACTGGCATTTCTTGCAGTATTTACCCAAAAAATCACGGAAATTTTCACGGTCATGTTCGATAAAAAATTTTTATCTTAAAGGTTCTTATATTTTATAATAAATTGAATAAAATTATACAACATTAATAAAATTATATAAAATTATAAAATAAAATTTTCTCAAGATTCCAAAAAATATTCTCGACCAAATATTCACGGTAATTGGTGATTACTGAATACCTGAAACTAAGTGATGACAATACGTAATTGAGGAAACATGTTTGACTGATCATGAATGAAAAAGCTTTTAACATCTTGCAAGACAGGAGATTGCCCAGACTGTAGTCGCCAACGCCAACGCATTCGACACTAGCAAGCTTACCAATTAAAAACCCGACCAGCTTCGGGATTGTCACCTCCATCCCTGTAAAAGACTTACTGATAACCACTACGCCTGAGACGCAAACACGCTGCAACCCCCGGCTCAGAAGTTGGGATATCTCTCCACAGAATATATCTGTAACACGGACCAACAAGCATCATCGCCCTGTCCAACTGTCCTTTCAGGATCATAATAATAAATTTGTTGCAATGCAAAATGGTTCACTGAAGAGAAGCAAAGAAATCTCTCTCCACTACGAGAGAATCGCAGTTCCTTGTTTCAACTACAAGTGGCAGAGATAATCCAATTTCTTTCCTTTGGCAAATAAATCTGCCACAGAAAGTGAATGTGAGTGGAACGGACTTATATACCTCCACCTCTAAGTCAGATTCCCATCAAAAGTTGGGTTCACTGAATTCATGGTATCGCTTTCATTATTGAAGTACATATTGTAATATAATCTATAGATGAACTATGTTCTTTGATTTTTAAGCAGTGAAATCTTCCACTTTCCAATTTATGGATTAAATGGATTGATAATTATTTTGCATGCTTTATTTTCTATTTTTAGCAATATTTATGCAATAAAATGCTAATATAATTTAATTAAAATTTGTCAACATATTACGAGGAAAATTCAATAAAAAATTAATTTTGCTAATTGTTTGTTTAATGAATTCTAATAATAATGAATGAAAACTATTGAACTAAAGAGAAAAATAAATATTTATTATGGTTAACAATATTTGCCAAATAAAAGCAGCAAAATAAAGAAAGGAAAAAAAGAAAAGAAATATGGGCAAAAATATAATGAAGAAGCTAAGTTGACTGAAATATTTGAGATCAAAAATACAACCAAAAAAAGGCTTATTTATATGAACAAAAAACTAGTAAATAAGAACGAAAAAGTGAGATGGAAATACTTGTGCAAACGAAGGGAGCGTAAAAATAAAAATGCTTGCTGTACCAAAAAAAATTATGAGCGATATATAAGAACAAACGAGATGAATTTTTTACGTTGTTAAAATTCTAAAGCGCCACTCTAAGTGAATAAAATTTATCAATTATTCTCAATATTGCTTCAGTCTAAAATTCTGGATAAATTGTTCTAAAACCCAATCCTTCACTTAAGCAGTTTTCGAGCTTTTTATGAGCTTGGACGTCGCAAAAAAATTTTAGGACCCAGTCGATTTCAATGCTTCTTATAATTTAAAACAGTAAATATCCTAGTTTCTAGCTATTTATTGAGTAAATAATCGCGTCAATAACTGATCACAACACCAGTAAAAAGACTTGCAGTATTGTTATGAATACTACAGTATGAGCAGCTGTATATTTACCAAGCAACAATATACACAAAATAGCACCATAATATACAGTAAGAAAGATGAAAGTTATAATAACTAATTACAGTAAGTAAACAGAACTAATACGTCACTAACAATTTGGATCTAGTGACGAGATAAATATTATGGTGATCATTTAGCAAAGAAGCCCATTATAAAAAGTGAATATAAGGAGCAGCATAAATAACTGATAACAATGAGATTATGATAAACGATAAATGATAAATAAACATTTTTATTTCAAAAGTTGGCCAAAAAAAGGAATTTAAAAAACGATGCCAACATTGAAAAATAATACATTATAATGATAATTGAAACAATGCAAAATATTCATTCATTTTAATGACGGTTTGTCTTTGACAACGACATTAAATGTCAATAATTGTGGAAAAAAAGGCTTTATAATAATTTCAAATTTTTCTGGTTCCATATTTTTTTCGTCATAAATTTTCCGTCATGAGTTTCTGGATTTAATGACAAAAAAACGAAAAAAGCTTGAAGTATCAAAATATATGCGATAATTTTTTAGAACAAATAAATAACGGAGACCCGAATTCCGTCTATTGCATAAAATACATCTTTTAGGACCTTTGAAGGTTCAGCCAAAATTTTCTTTAATTGAAATACAAAAATATGGCGAATTAAACAATTAAACAATTCGCAAACATTCTTTTTCAAAGCACCCATAGTGTTAGGAAAGCTAAATTTCTCCTTCACTTTCAAGCATTCACTCTTATTCACCTTTTTTCATTCTATTCTTTAGTATTCAAATTCAGTTAATTTATCAAAATTAGCAGCTATCTAAAGGTGATCTTAAGCAATTTAATTTAACCATTAATGGAAATTCGCTTAAAATTTCGTCATATAAAATTCTTGCGCAAAACGATTCGCATCGAGATATACAAAATAAATTTTAATAAAAATCACTGATGTGTGTACGAAAATATATGATTTAATACGTATATGTGCATATCTGAGCATCAAAATTCCATCATCCTTTATTGTTAAGCTGTTAATAATACACGCATTATGCTTCGCTGAGAGTTCGTAGTTGAACTGGATTTGCTAAATATACTCAATATATTCAAAAGATTCGAATAAGATGGTACTTCTAGAAATGACCCATAGTCCCTTACTTCAATAGTTCCATTTTTTAATCTTGCTGAATTGGTGCAAATTATATTAATATTATTTCTTTTAATCAATTTAATCATATATTTTGCAACAACAGGAAAAAAAATATTTTTCTAATAGCTGAATAAAAAGAGCACTTCGATGAATTATCAAACTAACAAATTTTGTATAAATCAGCGGCATCCACAACTCATCACCTCCATATCAGGATAGTTTTTTATAACAATTTTGCTTTCAACATCAACATAAAGAATAGCTAATGACTGCATTTCGACAGGTACACAACAAGGTGCTGGTACTAAAGATGGATTTATCGAATTGATCAGCCCTTGTATAATTGCATGATTTGTTGCATTAAAATGATTGCTCAACGGAATTGGACAGTCTCCTTGACATTGGTAAGCGCTATAGCTTACTGAAATATATATGACTGAGATTTAGCGATCATTGTCATCATAGATTTTGCATTACGCAATTGAACTCTTACATTTCAGCTTAATGAAAGCCCAGACTTTTTCAGATGAGTTACGTCTCAATCCTTATTTATCTCGAATTAAAAAAGAAAACGTTAGGAAGTTTTTAGTAGAAAGTCTTACATGGTGCGAGAATCCAGTCTTGCCAGTTCAACTCACTGAAATTGACTTGAAGTTCTTTCCTCCTACAAAAATTTTTTTCCGGCCCAGTCAGCCTGTGATTATGCTTCCGGTGTTGATGGCGCCTCTTACTGCCTGCTCGCCTCTTTTTCCTCACCTTAACATTATATGCGCCATTTTAAAACTATAACGTATTGAGATGTTCATTTAATTCATAAAATAAAACGCTTTCCTTTAAAAGATAAAAAATTAGAGTGAAAATTTTCCTGATACAACTGTAAAATACAATGACATATAGTCTATAAAAATACTTTTCTGGCGGCATCCTTAGATTCAACGTAGACAATAAGAGCAGCTGCTTGTGTTTTACTATAGGGCATGGCTGATATAGATGTTATTGATGACGAAGGTGTCGAACTAAGTTTACCGTCTGAGAGTTCGATAGCAAATTCTACCTGAAAAAATCCGTATCCTTAATTTTTTATCACGAATTACGCCTCATTGTGATCACCCAAAAAAATACTAAAATACTACTGGGTGTTGCTGGAAGAACCATATAGTGGTTTAAATTACGAGGCATGTTCACGACCTAGTTCTAGTTCCAATGAATATAAAAGAAAATGGCTGAATTGGAAATTATCATTGTGAACCAAATGCAAAAAAAGACTGAAAATTTTGGACTATCGATGATGTTTGCAATCTGCATCATCATCGATCGCTATAATGCTAGAACTGACTACTCCAACGTTCACAGAATACAGAATATAACCAAAAATAGAAATCTACCATATTCTTATTGGGACGTTTGCGGACCAGTGCAGCTGATACTTCCAAATCAACCCATTGATGATTTTGTTTAGGGTTTGCATCAATGAATTTTGAGTTGATGACTCTGAAAAAAAGTAGCAATCTAGAAGAAAATGTCTCCTTCTCTAAAGAAAACTCGTATTAAAATTTCCTGAATAGTTTTGTGTCTTCATTGACAATTGCTCAACAATTGTACAGCTGACCTTCTCTTATTTATATACTGTGACAGCATTTATTTTAAAATGTTTCTCTAATAAAAAATAAGAATATTACCGTCGTACATCGGTATTTCGCTGATCAATTTCATAAACTTTCACCTGCCTTCTTGTAAAACCTTGATTCAATTTAAGTTTGAGATAAGCATGCATAATGCGCTCATCTGTTAGATTTTGCACGGATACAGAAAGATTATAACGAAGATATAAAAGCCTAAACGGTTTTAATTTTTAGGAGATCATAAGTCCTCAAATCAATGATTTCCAAATTTAATGAAATTTTTAATTTAGAATTGAAATTCAAGAACGCACTATTAGATGATTATAACTAATGAAAATTCTGAAAAAGCGTTTTAATTTGCTCTTTTTTTTAATTTTTTCGCTTATTTCCGACTATCCAATCTTTTTTTTTTAGTATGATAAATTTTCAGTTCCTTCTCTATTCCTCTACTCCTATTCCTTTCAACATTGCTACTAGTTTGGTTGGTTCTCTTGACTTTTAAAGAATCTATAAATATACGCGAGGATATAGTTAGAGGTATAGTATAGTAAAGTTTAACTTTATATTACAGCTTTATTCCTGTCAAGAGATTAGAGACCGCGGAATGGAACCTATGACGTTCATCTCTATTATGTTAAGTCAAATCTTATATATGTAAAAATATATTCTCTTATGGTCATATGAAAAAAAGAGTGATCTGGCACAAATCGCGAATTTTTTATTTTTTCTCTTTTATTATTTGCTTTTAACAAAAAAAAGCTTAAATTGCTCAGAATGTAAATATTAACTAAGCAATACTTACCCTTCGTTGCTCTCCATAATCCTCTGTGGGTAATAATGTCGAACCCATTCAATATTCTCATTTTTTACTTGATCATAAATATCCCAAATATATTTCGGTATTGGTAATGAAGGTTTTTCTTGCTTTGGAACTTCTTTCATGCCGAACCTGGGACACAGATATAAGGATACGGACATAAGGATATAAGGACACAGAAGTATCAAAATACGATAAATCAATTTGCAATATTTACTCCATTCCTCTTTTTAATTATTTTGACAAAAACTCACTTAATCTTATCTTAGCTTTAACTTCTTTAGTTTTAACTTTTTCACTATTTACCTCTGCAAATACCTTTTTTTGACTCATAACTTACCTTCTATATAAAAATATTTTATTGTCTATTTGTCGGTTACTTTTTAAAAAAGGTTCATTCACTAATGAGCTAATAATTATGATACTTATTAATAAATATGATTTGGTGATTTCATTGCGAATACAATAAGGTGAGGAAAAACAGAATTAGCAAAGATTCACAGAATAGAATCTATAAGTGAAAGGACGTTACTAAACAAACCTCTTAAGAAAACTCTTTTGGATTAATTCGATCTCGGCTTGAGTGAAACGATTCGATTGAAAATTGCCTATAGCGTTGTCAGTGCTCAGTTGAGGAAATAAAATAGTGAAAAATAGAAAAAATAAGAAGTAACTAAGATGGAAATCAAAGAAATTGAAGTTTCTGAGCTGTCGAGGCTGCAAATAATTGTAGAAAGCGGCAATATAAATAACGATCATCTTAAGTCGTCTGAAAGACTAGAAACTGCATGAGTATAGCAGCCCTATTTCCCGATTATCGAATGGATAAATTGTTAACATCCAGGCTGAAATTCCAAATTGTTAGAACTCCTATTATATCCTAATGCAATAAGGTACACGCTCTTATTGTGTGAAGTTCTTTTTGCCTTAATTAGGCTAGCTTAATGATTCTCACGAATAATCATCAGCATTTAAATATAAATCGCCAGCTTTGTCACCAACTTACCTGAGAAAAAAGGCATACATTTAGAACCATTAGCAGAGGCTATTTTTACATATCGTCGCAGGCTACAATCGCAATTTAACACAAATATAATAATAAATATAATATAAAGAGTAAAAACATAAGAAAATAACAACCTTAAAATTTCCAAATCAGTGTTGACTTTAAATAACTAGCTAATTTCTAAAATAAAGATTTAAAAGTTGCAAAAAAAAACAATTGAATACTCGTAACAATTTAGCTACATATAGCATTTAAATCTGGTAAGCATTCTTGACAACATTCTAGAAAAAATCGCAGATAAAAGAAAGGTGGATAGAAAGGAAATGCTTATACCCTTCTCTATACCCTATACCCTACTATACTCATCTTATACCCTTTAGAAACTATAATCAAAGCTGATTGTTAGCATTTCCTCTTGTATAACCAGAAATTCTGAATGGATGAATTCCAGAAAGCATGCGACAGCAAAATAAGTCACATATTATATCACATCTAAGCGACCGTATACCTCTTTCAAAGCGAAAGATTTTTGTAGAAAGAATCTATCTCTTGATGGTGACGTGGAAGTGGAAGTAGCACACAAAAATTCAATTGGCAGAAAGCGGAATCTGAAAAAAACTGATTTAAACAAGCTAGCAAACGGTTAATATTTGTTTACTGTCCACCTTGATAATTTGCCAATGGTACAGTAAAGAATTTTGCCAAGGAATCATTTGAAGACAAAGGATGAGTTCTGGTCACATTTTCTGAATACAGATTCTTTGCAGGTAGCCTAGGAATGCCCTGACTTTTAAGACGACAATCTGGGATGATAGATACAAACACTCGGTTATCCTACTTAAGAATAGTATAATGTAAATCTAGAATACTAGATAGAATGCTGCCACAAAGTGTGGTTAGCGCTCACCATTTCTGGTTACGCTTACTCTATTGGTTGTTAGTATGATATGTGATATGATAAATTTTTGCCACAAACTCAGTTGCAGCTAGGAGTTGTTGCGTGGATCCAAACCTTGACAATTAATTGTTCAAGACGATAATCTAAGCAACGACCTGATCAGCTATCCCGATGTTAAACAAAGTGTATATACGGAATAAGAACGGATATAAGAATGAATAAAAATCTTTATGCTTATTTATATGTTTTTTGTGACAAATCTCATTAATTTTTGGTGTCAATTGTTGATACTGTCGTATAGAAATTGTTCATTGTCGTATGAATGTGAAAGCATCACAGAGTAAACACATTACGGTCAATAAACCGAATGGTTGATCTATAATGCCACCGCTAATCACTCATTACATGGTTCAGTTGGAAAATTATAACGTTGATCTTAGACTTTATTTAATGATGCCAAAATATTTTAAACAACAGACAAAAATATTTTTCGTCATGAGCCAATAAAAATTAAAAAATACTTAGATACTAGAAATAGATTCAAATGCAAATAAGACGACTGTGTTCGCTTATTTCGAAACTCAAAAAGTTTATTATCGTTCAAATAGTGTCATAATAGTGGCTTAAATTCATTTACCAGTTAACACTGGCATTCTCAGTTCAACGATCTAAAAGTCACGTTAAACAGTAATGAATTCTGTCATCATTCTTCAAAACATGAAAATTTATTGGGTGATGTTAAAAAGAATTTTGTTTACACTTAGGTTTTTCAAGTTCAAATCATGTAACGTTCAATAATCAAAGTCAAATGCGGCGAAACAAGATCGGTTTTTTCCCTACTGACATGAAATTCATCTAAAATAATTTTTGGTTCGATGCTAGTTTAGTCTTCAAAATAATGGAGTTATTGCGAATCTCAAGAATAATGTCAGTCCAAATAAGTCGGTCTAAAATGTCTAATATTTTCAATACATGAATTAATAGAAATGTAAATGTCGAAATTTGACAATTGCGAGCTTGAGAGTATTAGAGACGTATTCAATACTACAAAGTGCCTGTATCAAGGGAAATCACAATGAAGGTATATCATATCACTAAATTGTTATAGTCATAATCTGGCGTCCGATTTTCTAAAATTCTTCTAAAGAACTTAATGGAATAAAATTTTGAAAGAAGAAAGAAATCAGAAGAATATGAAAAAATTAATTTCAGAAAAATAAGAACAAGAGAAAGTAAATGCATAAGTTGTGACTCATAATTTATGCATCTGCAAAAATTAATTTTCTACTGCGAAATGGAAATACCTCTAGCGCAACGCATATGACATTAGATATCTTAGCTAGGCCAAAGCCAACTTATTTTCAAGTATGTCGCAACATCAAAGGTCGGTTAATCATCAAAGAATCTGTTATTTGACACGGAAACTTTTTGTGTAAAATTGTTTGGAACAAGAATCCACTGTTCCAATTCTATATATCGGCCGCAATGGATGCTTGTCGTTTATTATGCTACAAAAAATAATTGGGACTTGAACTGAATTGAAATTCATAATAAGAAAGCATGATCAAGTTTCATATTTTATCAGCAAATGAAAGCGGTTAATAAGATTTGTGCCACAATTTTCTGAATTTATGTTCTATTTCATTGCTATTTAGAATATTTAAGACCAGCACCCAGGTGTTTAAAGATGCTTTGGCTGTTTAGAGCATTGAGTATTTTTCTATCGATCTAATCACATAATAGGAAAGGAATCATTCTAATTAGTGAAATCTAAATTGCCTAATGCATGAACGACTGAGTGGTGGATCAAAAACAGGCAATAATTTAATTCAATTATTCATTCAATTATTAGGATGGATAAGAAAATTTTAAGTTCTTAAGATGTGCTAAATGAGTAGAAAGGATAAGCTTTGACAGCATTCTGCATTATTCTCAAATGTAAAAACAGACTCATATTCGTCTAAAACTCAAGGTTACGATTTGTTAACAATAATAATAATATCCTCTATCTGGAAGAATGCTAAGCAAAATTCATAACTGATGATTGACAGACGAATTTAAGAATCTGACAAATCGGCAACTTCATAAAGCTGTGGTTTTGGCGATTTGTTATAAAGCAGTGGAACATAAAGCTCGCTAATAAAACATTACCTTATGCATTCCAATTTTTCAGAGAAATCGTTTTCCAGAGAATCATAAAAAACTTGATGAGCTATGAAATAATTAGCTGAATACGAGAAAAAACTTACTAATGAAAATTAGATGAGAAAAAATGATAAGTTAATTTCTAAAGATAAATTTTAGATAACAGGTTGGTAATATCTGTATCAAATCGATTCCAAGCAAGTGCTCGAGAACTTACGTATATCAAAATGATGCTGGCAATTGGCGCTTCAAGTTCGTATTTTTCAAAGAATTTTTTTGTGTTCAGTCGAGAAATAAGAAAAAAAATTTGTTTAGCATATTTAGAAGCATAAACTCGCGAAAACTCGTCTATTCGATGCGTGACTTGAAAACAACTTTTTTGTCTGCGAATAATTTCAGAAATTACGATAAAAATTAATTTGAAACTCTTACATAAGATTGCTGTTTAAAAACAATACATATACACGACAGCATTTAAAACAAGAATGGTGAACACTAACCACTTATATCAGCATACAATATATATATATATATATATATATGCTTATATATTTATAGGCTATGTAATAAGCTGGCCAAAAGAGTCAATAAAAAGGTTAGTAAGAGTTAAAAAAATCATCGAAAATCTTAAAAAAAATTTTTATAAACTTTTATAAATTTTTATAATTTTTATAATTTGTTATTTTATAATTCACTTGGAAAGAATGCGAAAAATATTGGAACATAGGCTTTTGATCTGATATATATTGCAAATATCGTTGTTTTTTTAATAATAGTGTGATTATTCCAAGTAAAATTGAAATTCATCGTTAAAATTTCTAGGAATCACTTATAGGGAGATATTGATTATATCACTTAGGCCATCGTTGTTGTTTGCTCGTTCTTCCTTCTACAGAACTTTCAGATCACTAAACACATGAATGCCTGGAAAAAAATCGTAGCAGATATATTAATACAATAAACGATAAAATTTTCCTCTCCTAAAAAAATAAAAATTAAAAATTTTCAGTTCCAAATTTAATTATAAATATAAAATGTTCCAAAACACATCGTAAAAATGAAAATGTTTAAAAATAGAACTTTCATTTTATAGCAGAAAAACAATAAAAAAA